GACCTGGATAAGCATTTTTATTTTTTTTCTCCTTATTAAAAAATCAAATTCTTTCAAAAGTTATATTTAGCATATTTTGTCCTAATAATGAGAGATAGTTACTATTTAAAATAAATCATATTAAAAGTACTTTAGAGGAAGTCGTATTTGAGCATAGAGTATTTAAACCCTGTTAAATGACATTAATGAGGATAAGACCTGATTGATATGAAAGACCACTTCATTATACAATGATGCACCGAGTTTAATCAAAATCGTTAGAGCCGTTGTCGAGAAAATTGTGAAAAGGTGTTTCCTATCTTATATCTTATCCTATATCTTTCCTCCTAATTGTCCGATTTTAACTCATTGTTTTTGTTTTTTTAGGAAATTCCATAAACTTTTAAAAACCATATACAATATCCACAAAGAAGTGTATACTTTTGGAGTTATTCGGAATTTAGTTTTACCATCCTTCGTAACTTTTTTTCCAGCTTCTTTTCGCTGAAGTATGTTATATAGATAAATTTGAAGGGTGTCGAGAAAATGACTTAAGCGAAGTTTCAATGAAATCGGTACATTCGTATAGGCGCTACAGTCTATAACTACGTTTTTCGGCATTTTTATTTTTTTTCTCCTTTATTAACTTATCAAATTCTTTCAAAAATTATATTTAGCATATTTTTGTAACTCTGAATAATGCGAAATAATTATCTTTTTAAAATAAACCATATTAAAGGTACTTTAGATGAAGACGTATATGAACATTGGGCATTTAAGCCCTGTAAAGTGACATCAATGGGGATAAGACCTAATTTATATTAAAGACCACTTAATTATACAATGATACACCGAGTTCATCAAAATTGTTAGATCCGTTTTTGAGAAAACTGTGAAAATGTGTTTCAGCGTTGATATAAAGTGGCACGTCCGGTTAGCCGATTTTAAGGAAAAAGTTGCTGTCAAATCTAAGGTATTTACCTATCTTAAATGCGCAATTTCATACGACTTTTCGTTTTTGAGCTAAACTGCTAACATACACACACAGACATACAAGCCATTTTTCGGGACTTGGTTATTTGGAATCAAAATAGTCCAAAACGAGTATTTCCGTTAAAAACTCAGATTCAAAAATGTTCACGATCGCAATATTTACCTTATATATATATATAAGTTATGGTTAGAGGTAAGACTGTATAATAGTTAATCCTATTCATAAGATGTAAACAAGAAGGCAGTCTTTATCGAGCAACCGAGTGAGTCATTTCATATCCTTCTTTCTTTCTTCTTTTCCTTTCTTTCTTTTTTTTATCATTTTCTGTTCGGACGATCTTAAGTGGTGCCGAAACCCGGGACCTTTAGATTTAGTCGAGGAGACAGTTTTTTTTTTCTTTTCTTTTTCTCCCGCTCTCTTTTTATTCACGAGAAAAGGATGCCGAACGGAATAGGGCAACCGCCAGCGCCGACTACACCACAGGTCGCACAGCCGAATGCTCCACCACCGGCGTTTCCTCCGCAGTCAGAAGCATTAGCGACGGACTTTCCTCTGCTATCCACGGAGACGTTAGCGTCAGCACATGCGACTACGTTGGAATGGCTGAAGGTGAGAACAGCGGCATCACAGAACCTCAGGAGAGCGATATCCGATCTGGAAAGGTTTGACGGAGGAGTGGGGGAGTTGAATCACTTCTTAAAGGGAGGCGATCGGATGATATCGCGTATACTAGCTAAAGAAGAGGAAAATTTAGTAGACCCGATGGATGCTAACGCGTTGAGGGCAGCTCTGGTATGCCGGGTTAAGAGGAGCGTGCTGAACATGATCCAGGCGGATGAGGACACCCCATGGAGTACTGTGAAGGATAGACTGAAGAAGGCATTCGGAGGGGGCCGATGGGCCCCAGAAGAGGACATCCTGCAGATGTTCCGGGAAAGGAAACAACCTCACCAGACGAGTGGACAGTATACAGCGAATCTATTGGCACGGTTCAACAATATAACCGAAAAGACTAGGGAAGTAGCGGGTGGAGCCGAAACAGGAGCCAGGATGAATGACGTTCCTATCGACCATACTTAAAGTTCAGCTGGGTAGAGACACGGGAAAGAAGGATGGGCTCCCGAGGGAGAAGAGTTTCGTGGAATGTGCCCAGGATATGATCAATGCAAGCGCCCGGGATGAAGAAGCAGCTCGGGGTGCCGAAACTGAGAATGAGAATGGGTGGAATAGAGTAGGATATAGGAGAGCAGAAACTGGGAGGTTCAAAGTCGTGAGACCAGAGGTGTGGAGGAAAAGAGAGGATTTTAGCACGAGAGAAAGAACGGCAATGAAAGAGAAAAGGCCAGGGAAAGAAGGAATAAAATGGGCAAAAGATGACAGGAAATGCCACAGGTGTGGGAAGATAGGTCACCTATTAGCGAATTGCCCTCGAACTCGATGTTTCGAATGCGGAAATAAAGGGCACATCGCGAGACAATGTCCGTACATGAGTAGACGGGGAGACACGAGGCGAGATGAGCCAATGGAAGCAAACGCACAGAGATTGTGGAGGAAGAGAGAATCGACATTGTAGTCAGACGATTCATCGGGAACATCGGGAATAGAAGAAGAGGAGACGGTAGTAAAAGGGGCTCGAGGAGGCAGAATCAGCGGGAGGAGCGGAGAAAGAGGAGCAGGTGCAGGAAGGAGAGGAAGAACGGATGAATGAGGAGAGTGGCAGAGGAGCGGCGACCACGCGGTAATAAATAATATTGGAGGTGAGTGCGTTGGTTTGCCAATTATAAGTGTTGTGAGGAGAGAAAAGTGTTTGGTGGATACGGGAAGTTCAAGTACAATACTATGTAGAAAGATGTTGGAGGAATTGTGTAAAGGAGAGAGGATACCGGAAATAAAAGATTGTAAGTGTAAGTTTATTACTTTGGGTGGTCCTTGTAGAGTGGAAGGGGAAGTAGAATTAGATTTGGACAGATGGATGACCGGAAGCGGGAAGTTGAGGGTTCACATAGTGGAAAACATGCCGAGGGAGTATGGGGGTATAATAGGATGTGACTTATTAAATAGAGTAAGACCGAGAATAGACTACCGGGATACGCGCTGGATTGTTCGAATGGGAGGGAAGAGGTACCGGTGTAAGAAATGGAGAGTGGAAGGGAAGTTTGGTGAGGGTATAGGATTTTCGTTGTGGTGTTTAAATTATTTGAATTTTGTTTCAAAATTTTTATTTAAAGAAGTTTTGACTGCAAATTCTGACAATTATTTTCATCCTTATAATGTCATTATAATATCGTTATATCATTAAATGAAATACTCGCGATTTATACAAACACATTTAAACAAAAATTGTCCAACAATGTTGTTTTGTTTCTATAAATAAGTATAGATCTTTGTATTTTCTTTTTATGTAGTATATTTGTAGTTTTTTTTACACTATATGACTTTGAAATAAACAATATAAAAACAATCTTAATATCAATTTCGTTTCAGGTCTGGCCTAATACATATTTTAGTATCATGTCCTTCCAGAAAACAAAAAAGCCATCCTCTTCACTATCAGTGGTATGAGCCAGTGGATCTCCATCTCCATCCTCTATCTTAGCATCATACTGGACATTCACATCATCTTCTCCAGGTTCATAGGCTCTATCACTTGCTGATGTCGCCACAGCTCTCACTACAACTGAAGATCAAAATATAGAAGGCAATAATCAGACCAACGATGCTCCACCCCTCTTCTCAGACACCTATATAAAACAACATTACAACAACTACAGAGCTACCAGAACTCTTTCCTAATGGGTAGTATAAGGCACCATTCTTCAGAGGGTAAAGAACGGAGTCATACATAAATAAGAAGCCACAGGCCTAAGACATCTAGTTCTTTGATGGGCTGAAGGCCTGTACCCTATTTTCAAGGAAATCCCCCTGACTCCCAGGCCTGGTATGTGGCAAGGCAAAATTCCTCTGGTGAACATACTCGCCAGTGGAAGGGATCTGGGCTCTGCACCCTGAACCCGATCGATTATCAAACTAGCAGGACAATCCCTCCTTACCTAGAAGAAATAAACCTAGTGCCACAGTACAACCTTAGTATACAACATACTCGGGGAGTAAAAGTGATGTAGCCCAAAGTATGTATATTATTATTAGTGATGTAAATAAATGACAGAGGATCAGAAAAAAATGTAATAATTAATTAATTATAATATAACAGACAAAAGTAAATAAAAACGTTGTAATAATAATTAATTTTTTTATTGTAACGATTAAAATTTTTTGTTGATGACCTTGGTAGGTTGGTCTGAAAAAAATTCATACTTCATTATCAAAATCCAGAATAGTTTAGTAGTACCCATTTCTACTGTAAAACTAGAATTTTGTACTTTAAATCTTTTTTTAATAAAATAAAATTTAAAATAATAGTAATATAATATGTAAAACTATAAATAATATTGTAAAAATTCAGATTTGAAATTTTTCACTGTCACAATACTTTCAGTTTACTCTAATCTAAAAGTACTATGCTTCCTGTCATTTTACCTCCTAAATTTGAAATTTAATCTATCGACCAATATAAAATTATAGATAGTGAACTAGCCCAACTTGTTGGTTAAGTACAGAATAATACAACTATTAATAATGGTGTAACCAACTTCAAATTTATTTATATAAATTATATTTTAAAAAATTCCATTCTTTCTTTATAATATATATTGTTAATTAAATGTGTAAACAAAAAAAAATTACTCTTTAAATAAAAAAAATTAAAACTTGTTAATTTTTTGCATATAATTAATGAATTAAAAAGCATAATTAATGATTTAATGTCTGGAAAACCACTACATTTTTATAATTTCTATTGATATCAATGATTAAACTAACAATCGACCAACAAATTAAAAAAAATTATTATTTTTTTATAGTTAAAAATCAATGTTGTCAGTATTGCTGACATTACTATTTACAACAAATATTTTAGTATCATACATTGATTTTCATTTTACTTTTCGGAGTATTTTTCCTTTAAATTTGCAAGACAGCCAAATGGAAGACAGAATAAAGAAGGATAAAAAGGAAAACAAAATGTTTTAAGACAAAGACAACACTGATATCTCAAGTATTGATTACTTACTCATGACCCTTCCAGGCTAACTGTGGATTACCTCACAACTTGTCATGTATTATTTTGGAAATGAAAATCAGAAAATTTAATAAAACTCTCAGATAATAATGCAGTGTCAACAACAAATAATAAATCCTTATGAAAATAACTGGCATTCAACAATGGATAATGTAGAACTTGACGTTCCTGAAGGTAGCAACTTTTATTTCTAAAAATATTAAATAAAAGATATATTTGTGTCCTTTTTTAATGCCAAATATTTTTTATGCAAGTCTTTGGTACCAAACATCATTTTATAGGCATATAATATCAGAGTTGAAAATTAAATAATTTGCAGTGTTCCAAAAAAATAATTATTATTTTTAAGAGAAACTTCTCTAGGACTGTTACAGTACATGTATACCTAAATGTTAAAAGTTAACCAATTAAATATAAGTTGAAAATATAAAAAGTCAACAGGTGAGAGGTGTAAAAAAAGTTATCTTTTATTGTCTGACCAATATTATTCCAGGTTATAAATAAGAGATACACTTTTTTTTTTTTTTATATATGGCTTACCTGCCAAAGAAAAAGCATATTTGCTTATTGCAAGGTAATTTACTGACATTTTAATTTTATTTTAAAGATTATTTTTGTTAAATATTTTTTTTATTTTGAAAACATTTCATATGCTATGTTTATTAAGTGTTTTCTATCGATTGATTCAAATTTCAGTAAAATATTGTTGCTAGAGCCTACTCTTCTTCCCTTCTGATATGCAAATTGCCTCCTCCCATTAAATAAAAACATGGAAATAATTGAATAACTATTTTTATATTAATAGAATAAATATAAAAATAACATCATAAAATTAAATTATATATTATCTTGGTAAAATAAAATTATAAAACTATTAATTGCCATAAACTGGATTTTCCCCTTAAAAATTGCTTGTCAATTATTTTCTTCTGAAATAAAGGTCAAATACAAGTGAAATACAAACCTTGAAGTGTAGAAAAATTTTTCAATCTGGAAAGTTAACAAAGAAGATTAATATTGAAGTTAAAATAAAACATCTAAAACACAGTTAAACTAATCGAAAATATTTAAACTCATTGTGGGAACGTCGAAATGAGGCTTGTCATCCCTCACTTGTGGGGCTTAGCTGAAAAAATAATATTGCAATTGGGATATTTTAATACTTTTGATGAATTGCTGATGGAGGCAGGACACCTACAATATGATGAAGAGTGAGTTCCCCCAGCTGATGGTTAAATTAAGTAACCATACTTAAAGAACTTTGAGTTCGAGTGGAAGAAAGTTGTGGGTCCAAGCCAGTTCTCATCGGGCAGTAGAAAAGAAACGATACCAGGGAGGCCACTGGGTAAAGGAGGAGAGAAGATGCTGGTCAAACTGAATAATGATTAAAGTAGATAGTGTACACAGCTATTTATGTTATGCAGGAATCCATATGATCTCAGTGTTACAAATGCCTGTATTGCCTTAAAGACAGGGAGGATGGAAAATAAAATAAAAAATAAATAACTTAATCCTTTTTTCTACCTTTCAATGTGTATTTTCTAGATCTTTAATAGATTCTTACTTTATTATTTAGATCCAAGGTACTGGACAAGAACCGATGTAGCAGCATGGCTTCAGCACACGGAAAGTCAACACCACCTTCCATCCATACGATTGGACAGATTCTTCATGAACGGAAAGGCCCTTTGCCTAATGACAATGGAAATGTTTCTAGATCGAGTCCCAATAGGAGGTAAGCTACTATACAAAGACTTCCAGCTTCGATTGGCAAAAGCGATTTACAACATAGACCTACACCAGAGCTGAAACTACGCTCCTTCTAGCAGATTACCTTCTGCTAGAAGTCTATAAGCAATTAAGTAGTGATATTAATACAAATATAAATGTTAATTGAGCACAGTTTTTAAAAATATATAAATGTTTAAATTTATTTTTACATAAATTTTTTGGCATTTTATTCAATACTTAAATGTATACAATTTTATAAGATATATTTACAAATCTAAGTCTACTGTATTCACAATTATTTTTGATTTTATTCTTTAATCAAATCTTTATAAATAAAAAAATCTTGTTTTGCAAGGTTTTGTCGTCCTTCTACTGGTTAAGGATCTATAATTTAAATATTGAAATACTTTATGAATAAAAGTTAATAAATTAAAAACAAAAAATAAATTAACTTGTAACAGAAAAGAAAAGTTAGAAATTCATATGTTGTACTCCGGGAATTCACTTCTACAAGTGTATATGTGACTAAATAATAAAATATGTCAATCTCAAAGCAACGGGTTCAGCTTTTATTGATTTCCTACAGTCAAACTCTCAACTAAACCCTTCAGTGCACAAATTAGTGGATTAATAAAGGACATCTATCATTTTTAAAAAGTTCGAAAACATTCCTCCGGGCTGTTAGGACAAACAGACAGACATACATTCATTTATATATATATATATATATATATATATATATATATATATATATATATATGTATATATATATATATATATATATATATATATATATATATATATATATATATATATATATATATATATATATATATATATATATAGATGGATAGATAGATATATAAATAAGATATTACCAATGTTCCAGTGTGTAGTTTACTACTGCATCAAAATTAATGTTTATCTTGAAATATTAAACTTCAATGGCAAAAAAAAAAAATTATAATTAGCAAATTTAAATAAGTAAAAAAAATAATTCCTGCAACTATCCTGTATAAAATAGAAAACTGAGTAATTATTGTTAGTATGGTTATTATACATCATATATAGTTTTAAAATATATAATGAAATCTTTTTAAGATTTATGTGGCCCATTTCTCAATCATAATCATTCAAGCTTAGAGTGTTATTTAGTGTAGCAAAAATAAATCAGTTCAAAAGTGTTTATTAAATCATTCAGTAAATAGTTCTTAAAAATAGCTTATTTTTAAAGTTTAACAGATTTTTTTTAACGTTTTGTTTTTGTAACAAAATTAAGCAATTAGATTTAATTTTAGTGAAATACTAAATCTTTGTCTAGCGCCTATGGTACTGGTGAATTCTTCCAAATTTCCAATTCAGGCGGGGAGAGGGAGATCAGTGTTTAATCCCTGGTAAATTTGAAAAGAAAAACATGTTTTAAAAGTATTTTAAACGACTTTTGTTTTAACATTAAACCAAAAAGGTTGTTTATTTAATTAAATATAAGTAGGTGCCTGTGGTGCATTGTGAGTCCTTGTAATGAATAAAAAAAATCATAATTTTCATACAAAATTATTGATGTAAAAAATTTAATTAAAAATTGTCTGAAACTTTAATATAATGATTAGTTCCTAAAATTTCTAGCCGAATTTATAATTTTGAGAATCTTGTTTTATTTGTAAATTTGGTTATTTAATGTTATGTTAGTTATAGTATATATGTTGTTAAATCAAATACAGTTCATCTTATTTTCATCATTATACTTAAATTATTTAATTAATAATCTTAGTCTTATACTTAATCATATTTGTATGCAGTAATGTACTATAATTTACAGTACAGTTTATAAAAATATCAGAAATAAAACTTGTCATTAAAAAACCAAGTAAAATTTTAGAAAAATTGCCATAAATTACAGCTAATAGTAATTTTAATATTAACATTTAATATAAAAATTATACTTAAAAAAACTAATTAACTGATTAACTTTGAAAAAAACTTTAGAAGAATGACATATAAATATAAATATAAGCTGATATATTAACATTTTAGTACTACAATAGCAGTATGTCCTCAAGAATAGGAAATTTGTTATTCAGTTTAAACTATGGAAGAAGGGAACATTGTATTTTTATATTCATTATTTACAAATCTTATTGCAGTTATCAATTACTAAAAGGAAATAACAGTTGAAACCTCCCCCCTCCTAAAAAAAAAAAAAAGATCTGAAGAAAAGAAAAGCTAATTTTGATAAGAGCACGTTATCTCTTGGAGAATGGCATGGAGCCATGATTATTAATAAATGTACAAAAGTAGCATTCATATGAAAACTAAATTTTCAAAAAATTTCTTTTCCGAAAGCATAATAACTAACAAGGACCTGAAGAAAAAACAAAATCATTATAAACACATTAATCAATTTTTTTTTTCAAAAGATGAAATTTTAATTTTATTTATCTTATTCAATATTAGTAGGTAGCTATTGTACACTCTTTGTTCTCGCCTTAAGATGAAAAAAGAGATAATTTTCATATAGAAATATTCATATTAAAAATTAAATTAAAAAAGAAGAAAAACATTAATATTTATCATAATTTCTTTTCCTAGTACTTATCGATTTAAGAAAATATATCTTTAATTGCATAATAATCGACTTATTATTGGACATATTATATACACATAATATTATGAATATATAGGAAATAATAATAATATGTATAATGGTTTATTATGTATAATAATGGTGTATTACTAAATCTAATTGAAATGTACCTATATCTACACTTAATTAACTTATTAACTAAAACAACATTACATTTTAAAATGAATAAAAATTATCTTATATGTTATTATCTTATCCTCAATGGCAGCAAATTACCAAAGATTAATGTAATATAGAACACTTGATGTATAGCAATTAAGTATAACAATATATCTATTTGATATATATATATATATATATATATATATATATATATATATATATATATTGGTCTTTTATAATTGGTCTTTTATAATTGGTCTTTTATTCTTTTATTCTTGGTCTTTTATAATTGATTCTAATCTAGAAAATCTAAAAATATATTACGGCTTTTCACAATTGATAGGCTAATCTCTTTTCCAAACAATCTTCCAATTTACCTATAAAAATTAATTAAATTAATCAGAAAAATAATCCCAAATTAAGGACAAGAAAGAATTAAACTACTAATAAAGAGGAAATCGTATAAAATAAAAATTAAGTATTTAATGCTTATTATGACAGCTAAAATTATATTATAAGTTGAATGAAAAACTTATTTTTAATTAGAAAAGTTAACAACCATGAAGTATTCAGTATTCATGTTCTTATTTAGAAGTTAAATTATAATTCTTTCTATCATATTTCTTTTTATTTTAATTAATGTTTCTTTTTTCATTCATCTACTAATACTATGGTTAAATTAGCATTGAAATCTTAATTTTTATTTTACAGCAGTTCCTCTTTATCAGTAAGTTAAACCCTTTCTCTTCTTTAATTTAAAAATTTTAATTAAATTTTGCAGGTGTTAGAAAATTCTTTGGAAAAGAATTAGACTTTCAATTGCAAAAAGTTGATCAGCCCAACATAATTTTGTTTAATTTTATGTAGAATATTTTTAGCTAATTATAAAATGTCAAGCAATCATATGGGCTCTGACAATATATATAACATATATTCAGTAAATTAAACTTGATGATTCAATAAACTTTATTGTGCAGATATTGTGATTGTATTGTTTTGTGAACAAATAAATAAAATTTGACAGTAGTAATATTGTTTAATTAATAACCAGTGATACATAGTTTTTATTATAATAGTTTTTGTTTTAATATATTTTATATTAGTAAGGACAAAGAAAATCCATCAGCAATATAGAAATTATATTATATTGTAGAAATCATTATTACAAAAAAATATAAGTTGTACTTGTGAGCGACGCGGGCTCTGCTAAACCTTCCACCTTCCTTCTTATCTTATCTTACGTCACCTTCTTATCTTACGTTATGTTACGTGGCGTAACCTGCCTTTTTATATAGTGTGAGCTGTTGCATATGTATTTATTCATTGTGCGTTATTAAAATGGATGTAATTACATTGTAAGAATTACCATCTTCAGAAGAAGAGGCTATCAAATATTTTCAAGATGCAGGGATAATTGCGAAGATGAAATATTGTGATGAAGGTCATAAAATGAAGTTCGACGGGAAGACGAAATGGAGATGTTTGGTGGAGTTTGTCAAGAAACAGACGAATGTTTCATCGTAAAAATAAAGGATAGAAAGGCAAGAACTTTATTAGAATGTATTAAAAATAATATAGAAGAGGGAAGCACCATTTATTCGAACTGTTGGAAAGGAACTTCTTCGAGACTTCTTTGAGTTATAACAAAGTCATCCCCCTGTAAACTAAACTCATAAATTAATTTATACAAGATCAAGAGATTCAATGATTGGTTGAAGCCTGCTAGCTCAACAGAGCTAAATAGCACTGAAAATTTATGAGGTCAACTTGAAACAATGATTTCAGGAGGAGGTATCCTTCCAAAGACTCAATGTTAGCTGCAAGCAGCAGTTTTGGGGCATTAGACAAAATGGTGAAAATAAGTATGAATCATCTTTGAGACAAAATAATAAATGATTGAGGTTGGCATTTTACCTCCTTGCAATTGAATAACATATTAATCAAGTTTTTCAAAAAGTAAAATTTATTTTTCCTCCAAACTCTTTCAAAAAGCAAAGAAACAATGTTTTTTATGACTTTTGTAGTTCTAAAAATCATTAAAGAAAATTAATTTTAAATTTTAATCCTGGAAGCTAAAAAGATTGTAAAGTTTACAAACATTTCGTTAAGCTTAGATCTCAGAAAATAACCTTACAAAGTCTATATCCGAATCAGAAAAGTTCTATTCAGCCACCTGGAATTGAAAATAAGACTCAATTTCCAGAATTACCCGAAACTGTGCAACAGCCTTCTACGTCAGTAGTCGTCGATCATTAGGACTCCAGAAAACCGTACTCAAGTACCAAGAGTAAGAAGCAGCAGCCTCGACTTCAACAGACGCTCCAGACTTCCAAATCAAAACCCATCAATACTTGCAATCCTCAGTCTCAACCTCAACAACAGAAAATTCCTATCCATCATCTATCCCTAAGGGTCAAACTTCCGCCACAGAACCCTCATCCATCCCATCCTAAGCTCGAAACAAAATCTCCACCACAAATACCTTCGAATGCAGACCTAGCTCGTACACAACGACCGATCCTGCCTTCACCTATCACTCCTAACCATATTGATCACCCACAACATTCTAATCCAAATCAACTTTATAATCAACATCCAATAGACATAACTACCTTCCTATCAGATTTACAAGATACTTAAAACATATTTACAAGATTTATAAAACTTCTTATCACCCTTCTCACTAGAATCCTGAACGAAATCTCTTTTAATTTTCCACGATGAGTGCAAAGCCCCTAGCTATCCTTTTATGGAACGCTAATAGACTACATAATCACTGTGAAGAACTTGACATGTTTCTTCATGACAATTATATTGATATTACTCTACTGACCGAAACTCACTTCACTCAACGGACAAAATTCTCCATACATGACTACATCACTTACAGATCTGACCACCCATACAACACCGCTCATGCCGGTTCTATTATTCCTATACATAAATCTTTATACCATTCCCTTATCTCTTCCACTCCAATTAATGCCATTCAATCAACTTCTGTAATCCTTTCATCACGTCCTTTCCATCTAATATTATTAGCTGTATACTGTCCTCCTGGTAATTCTCTCTCTTATAGCCTTCTTGATTCCTTATTCCAATCGCTCGGATTGCGCTTTATTGGTGGAGGAGACTACAATGCTAAACACCAACGATGGGGTTGTCAAACATCAAACTCCCATGGTAACATCCTTTCACGTGTTTCAACTTTCAACAGCTATTCTATCCTCTCGCCCATGAATCCTACTTATTGGCCAACATCCCTAAAAAAACGTACCGATATCCTAGATATGTTTATCATCTCCCAGATTTCGTCGTCCCAAGTTATAATCAAATCCCTAGATGACCTTTCTTCAGACCATAGTCCAGTTCTGCTTTTACTACATTCAAACAATGCGCCTAAACCCTCACATCCTACATTTATTACAGGACAAGTTCACTGGGACAGATTTCGGAATGATTTAGGAAATACACTAGACCTGAAAATTCCGCTGATGGTCTAATATTGATGGTGCAATAGACAAACTTACAGCATCAATAACAGCCAGTATTAATAAAAACATCTGTACCAATAAAGTTAATAATTCACAACTGGCTAACTTGCCACAGCATATGTGTATCTTATTAAGAGACAAACGCAGAGCAAGATCGAGGTGGCACAGAACTAGATATCCAGCAGACAAAACACATTACACCCAACTGACTAACAAACTAAAATCAGAAATTAAAAATTTTTTAATTCTAAATTTAATAACTTTTACTGAAAAACTAACAACTACCGACAAATCACTGTGAATTACCACTAAGAAGCTCCTAAAATTTAAAGATCATAATCATCCACTACTTACTGAATGTCAAACCTGGTCCAAATCTAATGAGGAAAGTACCCAAATATTTGCTCACTACCTCTTCAAAACATTTAATCCACATCCTAATATCCTTAATCTTAATCACCTTGAATGTATTGAAGCAGAACTGGATATTCCCCTCCAAATGACTCTTCCACCTAAAGCATTCCATCCTTCATAAATATCTAATATCATACACAGATTACCCTCCCACAAAGCTCCTAGATACGACCTAATTACATCCCAGATCCTAAAACAGATAAACGGATTAACGGTTAAAAGCGGCTAAAACTCAGGGCATTGTAATTGGTTCCAAGCCCCTTCTTAGATCCTATTCCGACTTTCCCATACTAAACCTTGATGACCAACCATCAATGATGTACTATTCGTCATCAGGATAGTATAATTTATAACTAATAAAGTATAGAATAGTTTGGGACCATAGCTAATTTTCTTGCACTATGGATAAGGGGACTTCCTAACATATTTCTCATCTCATCAACATTATCTGAAATCAGCACTATGTCATCAACAAATTTTAGATGGCTCAGCTTCCTCCCATTAATGTTGCAACCTTTTTCGCTCAAATCCATTTCTCTGAACACTTTCCTTGTAACGAATATTAAGAATAAGTAAATAAACAGCCACCTAAAAGTATAAAAACTTAATTATTGAAAGCAAAAACTAAAAAAGGTAATTGAAAATTATTCAAATTCAGGAATCCCATTTTTTTTTTTTTTTCGCAGGTCCATTTCATATTTTAAACACGTTCTGCATTTTCTCTGTAGGCATTTAATTTGATTATTTGAATGTCTTGAATTAAGATATGGAGAACTTGTTTATTCTACGTATTATAACATATATATATATATATATATATATATATATATATATATATATATATATATATATATATATATATATATATATATTAATATATATATTAATATATTTAATATTAATATATATATAACTTTAATATATATATATATAGAAATAGAAAGATAGAAAAAAAAAACTTTATTCTGGGACTAAGTCTCGGGGTTCCAATTACAAATCTTACGAAGCAATTCATAAGTCTTTAATATATATATATATATATATATATATATATATATATATATATATATATATATATATATATATATATATATATATATATTATATATATATATATATATATATATATATATATATATATATATATATATATATATATATATATATATATATATATATATATATATATATATATATATATATATATATATATATATATATATATATATATAGAGAGAGAGAGAGAGAGAGAGAGAGAGAAACTTATAAATGGATAAAAATTGGTTCTCTGGCTATATTACCATTAACGAGCATGCAAGTATGTTAACAAAGGATTAGTAAACAAAGCTCATGAGAAGAAATTAAACTTTTATTAGAACTAATCATAAAAATAAATATTAACACAGTGTTCATTAAATATTAACAAAATAAAATAAAATAGTCATCAGAATATGGAAAATAGCATTAATACTCATAAGTTATTATCACACAGAATTTGGAACTGGAGACTTTTTATTTACATTTGTACATACACTTAAAACATAATTATATTATATTTGCTGTACCAAAAGTTCTAGTTGATCTTCTTGGCTAATTACTTCATCAATATTGAACAAACCAGCATGTAGAGATATAACAAAACAGGAAGCACCTAAAAATAAAAAAGAGAAATATATATATCACATATGATAGTAAAAATTTGCATAAAAAAAATTAACTTTCTGAACTACCTGAGGGACAGAAGTATGGTTTATGATTGAAAAAATAAATAAAAGAATTTTAAAATTATCTGAGTAATATAAACAGCAATTTTAGCAAAATGTAGCAACAACTCTTATTTCTGCAGACCTTTTGTTCTTCTACAGAATCATATTTAATAAAACGATAGGAGATATGCAACAGTTAATTCAGAACCAAAGAGATCATCAAAATTTTAATTATTATATTTTGGGGATGAAAGTATAAAATGTTAATGTAAATTAATAAAAATACAACTTAAAACAGATTTTAATAATGTTTATTTTGAAATGTAGATATATAGATGGCATTTAACAGTTCACAACTAACAGCCATGTTTTAAAAAAATTGTTTTTTTAATTTTTATAAATAGGCTGTACAGGACTCTTATCCGGCCATATGCTTCAGAAAACTGGACCCAAGAACACGAATTCTCTCTTCTAAGATTCAAAACAAGAGTCCTGAGGAGGATATATGGTCCAGTTATAGTTAATGGAGAGTGGAGATGCCGTTCCAACAATGAACTGAGGCTGCTTTATAAGGAATTGGATGTAGTACAGTTTATAAAGCTAAAGAGACTTAGGGGGGCCAGAGGTGTGATTAGGATGGATTAAGATGAAATGCCAGCCAAAATTCTTAGGAAGCGAATCTTTGGTGAGAGAAGAGCAGGCTGATCATGACTTTGGTGAGAGGACTGCGTAGCTTTAGTTGCCCGGACCATATTGGATATCCGCAGTTGGAAAGCAGCGGCGCTAGACAGAAATAACGCTGGAGCAGGCCAAGACTCGACTTCATGAGCCGTTAAGCCGGATAAAAACAACATGTAAAAGTATAATGAAAAAATATTAAAAGAAATTGTTAATAGTCTGTGGTACAGACTCCTTTTTAATGAATTATTAACATCCGCCTGAAACTTCATAAATAGTTTTATCTCATCGTAACCTACACCTATTTTATTTACAAAAACTCTTGGAACAGGTGTGTTTTAAATCTGGAGGGTAGGGTAGCAAGCTTTGCCTATTTAATTAAGTACTAAAAAACTTGTATATACCCATTTGCTTTCTACTTGGATTGTAAGATAATTTGATCACAACACTGAGAAAAAAGGAGGCCTTAAAACATATTGAGCCGTTTGGCGTGACCTACACCCCCAAATTTTCAAAATAAAGAGGTTACATAGGACAAACGGCCCAATATTTTTGTAAGCCACCTTTTTTATCAATTTTGTGATGAAATTATCTTATGATCCAAGTAGAAAGCAAATAGGTATATAAGAGTTTTTAGTACTTAATTAAATAGACAAAGTTTATCCTCCTCCAGACTGAAAACGCCCCAACCAATTCCAAAAGTTTTAGTAAATAAAATAGTTGTAGGTTATGATGAGAAGAAACTATTTATGAAGTTTCAAGCAGATGTTAAGAATTCGATAAAAAGGGGTCTGTACCACGGACTATAAGTACAAATCCACAAAATAAGTATATTAAACAGAGAAAACTATAACAATATTATAAGACTGCTAAACTGTGTTGAGTTGCTAAATGCATAATATAGTAATAATAACATAAGTAAAAAATATATAATAAAATCCAGATTTAGATATTTACATTTTTACAATAAATAATATTTTTATGCAAATTAAAAATATAAATGAAACTTACCAACAACCCAGAAAACAGCTTGACCAACTCCAGCCCAATAATAAAGCGGCAAAGAGCAAATTCCTACAGCAGCGTACTGTTGATTAAGACTTACTTCTTTACCACTGATGATCAGTCTCTTTTCATTATTTCTTGTAGACAACATGTAACATGCAACTGCTGAGGCTGCTACAACTAGAAGTAGAAGTGGTGATGTCAGCCTATAATACATGCATAAATTAATCAAAATTATTATATATTTAATAATTAAAAGTAATATAGTTTTTATTTCATTAAAACTACATTAATTAACCTAGTATATTTAGTAAATTTGGCAATCTGGTATAAGTTTATTTTATAGTTACTAATATGGGATAAGTACTTGTTAAGAAAGTAGACCTGGGCAGAATTTATTTGAAAAATATTCCCGGAATAAATCCTTAAATAAACCTTGACAGTTATTTCAGAAATAATTTATTTCATGAAATAACCTGACCATTATTTCTGAAATGATTATTTCGGGAATAAATTATTTCAGGAATAATGTTATGAAATAATCATTCTGATCGACTTTTCAGATATAATCAATATCCGGGTCGACTGTTATGTTTTTTTTGGGGGGAGGGGTGCTTATTATGAAAATATGGTCGAATTTGAGATTGCGCCCCCCGCACCCACCAGCATCAACTTTTTGTAACTTTTCGGATTTGATCGATATCAGGATCGACTATTATATTTTCGGGGGCGCTAATTATAAAAATAATATCAAGTTTGAGATTGCGCCCCCCTCTCCCCTCTTTCCCATATCAACTTTTTGTAAATTTTCAGATATAATCAATATCAGTGTCGACTATTATGTTTTCAGGGTAGCTTAATATGAAAATACTGTCGAATTTGTGATTGCACCTCCCTACCTCGACTTTTTGTAACTTTTCGGATTTATTCGATATCCGGATCGACTGTTATGTTTTCAGGGGCACTTTTTATTAAAAAAATTTCAAATCTGAGATTGAGCCCTTCTATCCTACCGCATCGGCTTTTTGTAACTTTTCGGATTTAATCGATATCAGGATCGACTATTATGTTTTCGAGGTAGCTTATTAAGAACATATGGTCAAATTGGAAAAAGATGCCCCAAAAACTTAAAAGGCCCCCCTGATATCGATTAAATCGGAAAAGTTACTAAAAGTCAATGGGAGAGAGGGGGGAGTGCAATCTTAAATTTGACCATATTTTCTTAATAAGCTATCCCGAAAACATAATAGTCGACCCTGATATCGATTATATCCGAAAAGTTACAAAAAGCCGATACGGGAGGATAGAAGGGCTCAATCTCAGATTTGAAATTATTTTTATAAAAAGTGCCCCTGAAAACATAACAGTCGACCCGGATATCGAATAAATCTGAAAAGTTACAAAAAGTCGAGGTAGGGGGAGAGGAGGGAGAGGGAAATCTCAAATTCGACGGTATTTTCATAAAAAGCTACCCCGAAAATATTATAGTCGACCCTGATATCGATTAAATCCGAAAATTTACAATAAGTCCATGCTGGAGGGTGAGGGAAGGGGCGCAATCTCAAATTCGACACTATTTTTATAAAAAGATACCCCGAAAACATGGTGCATATTGGTAAAGTTTTTATCTTAGTTCTGAAATATTCATTTCTTGATTTTTGCAATAATTTATTTATGAAATAAATAATTCTGAAATAATAGTTATGAAATAATTTATTTCAGACTCAATAACTCATTTCGAAATAATTTACTTTATTCCAAAGAATGTTAATATATTGAAATAATTATTTCAGAAATAAATTCAGCAGTTATTCCATCGAGATTATTTCATTGACAGTTTGAAATATTATTTCAGAAATAACCATTATTCCCGAAATAATTCATTCGTGGAATAACCATCTGAATTATTTCAAGAGTGCCCAGGTCTATAAGAAAGTACTGTTTCATAATCAACAGTTATTCAAGGAAGTTATAAGGCCAAAATTGTAGCTATTTGTGCCCACCCAGCAAAAATAAAATTAGTTTTTATTGGCTTGATTTTACAGGATAGCAAATTCACAATTTCTTCAACTTTAAGAATGGAGAGAAGAATTAGAAAAATATTGTATTATAATCAAGGTTGAATAAAAAAAAAAAAAAAAAAAAAAAATGAAAAGTAAAATAAAACTGTGATAACAACCTTACAGGTTAAAATATATTAGAAACCTTTTATATCAATAACAAACTTTGATGCATGATTATATCTGTTCTCTACAACCTATTAGAGCAGAAAAACTAACATTTAAACTAATGCTTCAGTTCAGAAAAAATGAAAATTAGAAATAGAAATAGAAAATAACTTTATTCTGGGACAAAGTCCCTTTAGAATAACAAAATATAACATAATTAAAATATTACATCTGGCCAAAATAAAACAATAATAAAAAAAGAGAAAGTAAAGAAAATATTAGTTAAACAAGCTATATACAAAAAAAAAAAAAAAAAATCTACATACAAAACACTTAAAACTATGATAAAACACTTAAGACTATGTACAGTAGGAAAATTATAATTATACTCTTTTGACAAATAAAATAATAAAAAATACATTGAGTTCTTCTTTAAAATGAGGTGTGTTTCTGCTAACAAAGAAAAGACAAAGCTGAAAATATGATATATCAGTGTCTTTAAATAATGATTAATATGTAGACTTGTCATTGTTAAATGCTAGAGGTACAGATTTAATTATATACCAATAAAAAATAATAAAAAAACAAATGATGCGGTCAGTGGCATTAAGAGCCGGAAGATATTGTAATATCCCTAGTGAAGTTCACAGTATAGAATAGTACTATCGTTTGATGATGACTAGAAATGTATAATATCAAAAGTTTAGCAAGTATCTGACTGTTTTTGGGATAGGAATTGGAATAGGAGGGATTTGAATGTGGATATAGAGGGGGAATGCCGAATTTTGATAGGTAGAGAGTTCCAGAAATTGACAGCGCGAGCTATAAAGGAATTCTGAAATGAGGTAATCTGTGAGAAGGGATGTAGAGGTCAGAAGGTCGAGATCTTGTTGAAAGGGAATGGATTGAGGACTTGAATTGGAGAAGATTGTAGGCGTAAGAAGGACGATGGTTGTTGATGATTTGATAGAGGAACGTACCTAGAAAATATTGCCTTCTAAAGGAGGGGAAGAGCCACCTTAACTCAGTGTAGTGGTGAGAGACATGGGAGTACCTCGGGGCACTGATAACAAATCTTACGCAGCTATTCATTAATCTTTTCAGTCTATCACGGAGCTCCACCAAGAGGCCATCATACACCACACAGCTGTAGTCAAAGTGGGGGAAGATGAGAGAGGAAATTAGGAGTCTACGGGTATGTTGAGGTAGGAGATAGCGAAAGCGATGAAATAGTTTAAGGGTAGAAATTGTCTTACGGGAAATGTGAGAAATATGGTAGTTCCAGGAGAGGGTTTGATCTATGAATAATCCTAAATTTTTAACAGAGGAGTAGAAGGAAATTGGCTGGTCATTAAGGTGTAATATGGGAAAGTCAATATAGGATCTAATAAGGGGCTTGGAACCAATGACAATGGCCTGAGTTTTGACAGCATTTAACTTTAATCCATTTACATTTGCCCAGGCACTGATTGGATCAAGGTCTTCTTGAATCTTGTCAAATGCTACCAATAACTCAGAGGGAGAAAAGGATAGGTAGATCTGGGAATCATCTTCATAAAGGTGGTGGGAACAATGGAGAATTGAACGGGGAGGACCCAGAAAAAAAAAAAGAAAAAAAAAAGTAGTGAGTGTCAACACATGAAGAAAAGAAGATTGTAGAAGTTGAAGACACCAATATTGAGGAAGATTCACTGCAGAACAGGATGAGTAAAATATAATTAGTGACAGTTTGAAAGCGTGTCAAGATTAGACCCTGATAAATGAATGGAAATTCATAAAAATGTTATGTACTATTATTGTATGCCTTTATATTGCATAATTGAGGATGTGTGTTTGTTTTCTCAACCCAACCTGAGAATTAATTATTGTTTAAAAATAAATATTTGATTCAGAATCTGTTTGTTTACTTTTCAAAGGAAACGTAACCTAACAATTTTTTTTTTTTTTTTTTTTTTGTTCTTCCCTACCTTGCCTTTTAGGCTATACGGGATTTTCCGGGGCCGGGAAATTTAAAATCCCCTCCGGCACCGGGACGCATCTCAAATCTCAAAATCATCTCAAATCTCTGTTATCCGGTTGCCAGGCAACTAGCGGTGCTGTTACACACGCTTTAGCCTATTCGGCCACCCCGCCCCCGTAACCTAACAATATATTAAATAGATGAAAACAAATGTAATAATAACAAATCAATTTGATTTGAAATTGAAATAGTCAAAAAGAAATGTAGTAATCCCCACATCAATAACAAAACACTGTAATTTTACAACAAATTTATGGAATAGACAAAAATAAATTAAATAGCTTCCATCTTGTGTATTGTTTTGAATACCTTCTAATAAAGTTGTTGCCTTTCTGTCATTTATTTTGACGATAAAACACTCATCTGCTTCTCTGTAAACTCCGCCAAACATCCAGGTAGAACTCTTCCTACATGATTTTTCCTTTTAGAAAAAAGACTCTACTTCAATGACTTTGCCAGGCCCTCCAATTTTTTTTTTTTTTACCTGACCTGTTTAGCATGTTACGGGCACAAACCTCTCTTAAAAATTTGTTTCAAGTTACCATAGTTTGCTTGGATAGTTTCAGCTGCTGTTTGTCCCACTGTATTGTTGTTAAATTATGGGACCACCCATAAATGAATTTTAAAGCCATTAAAAATGAAATCCTTGATCGCTCTAACATCCTTTCCTTATTGAAACGTTTTTGTTACAAGTGGTATGAAAGTATCTCCATTTCCTCTTCCTGTCGAACTTCATTTCATGACCTTCATAACAATATTACACCTTTGCAATTATCACGGCGTCTTGAAAATATTTGATAGCCTCTTCTTCTGAAGACGGCAATTCCCACAATGTAATATAATTTGACACATCTATAATTTGACAAAAATAACACTAATAGAACAAAAATAAACAATGGAATAACTGAGCTTATACGAGATAAGAAGGGAGGTTAGGTGATGTAACATTAAATAACAAGGGAGGTTTCGTCCCGACTGGCTATTTAAGGAGTACTGAGTTTTTTTCCTAATGTAATTC